CACTCTATGATTGTTGATCAAATGCATCAAATTGACTCCGAAAATTCTCTTTCCCGTCCAAAAGTTTCCATTTTTTTACTCCCTCAGTCATGCCCTCTAAATTCCCCAATTCACGATGTTACCTAATCTATCACCCCCCCCCCCAAAAAAAATCTCCTTAGCTTTTAAAAATATTTTTAAAATATTCCTATCACAGGATCTCCTTAGCTTCTAAAAGCAACTCCAACCCAACTCTTCATTTTAGCTACTCAAAATGTATTTAAATATTTTCACTATATATTTAAAAAGTCATTTTACAAGTTTACTCCACCTACATTTTCTATTTTAACTAATTATTTCAACTAATTTTCAACAAATTAAATTAAAAATGCCACGTAGCCTACCAAGTCATCGTCATATTGATGACACGTCGTCAAAATTTGAAAATCTAAATTTTGCAACGGTCATATTGATAACGGTCGTCTTTTCAATGGTCATATTTTCAACCGTCATATTTTTGAATATGTATAAATAAGACCTTCCCCCTCTTATTGTCATACACCTCAAATTTATTTACTGTCATTGCACTATTCCTTGTTTATTTTCTCTGGCTCGTCATCTTTCATTTAAGATGATTATTAACAATTCTGACTCCAACGATGAATTGGAGATGATAACGATTGCTTCTATGGAAATAGAGGAACTCAGTATTGAGAACAACTCTGGAGTACGTCCTAGTTCTAGTCAAGGTCATTTTGTTATTTTTTGCAATCGAGTTGAAGTGCACGAGAGACTTTATCATAATTATTTTGTTGAATCACCTGTCTATCCTCCAAATTTATTTCGGTGGAGGTTTCGAATGAATCAATTCATTTTCCTTCATATTCTATCCATGGTGAAAGCTTATGATCCATATTTTATACCCAAAAAAAATGCTCATGGGATTATTGGCTTGTATTCTCTTTAAAAAATGACAACGTTATAAGGATGTTTGTCTATGGAGTTGCAACAGATGTTGTTGATGATTATGTGAGGGTTGATGAGAGCACGACAATAAAAAGTCTACAAAGATTTGTGAAGGCAGTAGTAACAATTTATTCCAATGAGTACCTCAGATCACCAAACAAAGATGACATTGCTAAATTATTGACAATGGGGCAAAGACGTGGGTTTCTTGAGATGTTAAGTAGCATTGATTGTATGGATTAGAAATGGAAGAATTGTCCAGTAGCATGGAAAGATATGTACTTTGGTCACGTTTATGAACCAACAATTATTTTTGAGGCGGTGGCCTCATACGGTCTCTGGATTTGACATGTTTTTTTTGGGTTACCTGGATCCCACAATGATATCAATAGTGGGATATTATCTCGTTGATGGTATATATCCAAAGTGGGCAACGTTTTTCAAAACAATTCCATCTCCAAGAGGTAATAAGCAAATACATTTTACAAAAACCCAAGAGTCAACAAGTAAGGATGTTGAACAAGCTTTTAGAGCAAGATTTGCTATAGTGCATGGACCAGCACATTTCTGGAGACTTGAAATGCTTAATGATATTATGAAGGCATGCATAATATTGCATAACATGATTGTTGAAAATGAGCGAGATGCTAGTGTGATGGACTTTAGTTATGATGCAACAGATGAAAGTCCTACTCCTACATTAATACCTGAATGGGAGTTTAGAGTTGCTCCAATTTATTCGTACTCAACATCGCATTAGAGACAGAGAAACTCATTCGAAACTCCAAGCTGATCTAGTCGAGCACTTGTAAAATACGCATGGAAATTTATAGGCATTAGTTAAGCATTCATTGTCTACAAATATTTATTACAGTACTTGTTTGCTGTCACTAGTACTCAAAAATTGTTTGTCTACGAATAAAAAAGAACTACATCTTCTTTCCTAGGATTTTCATTTGGCAGCGCTTATAATATTTAGCTTGCATTGGAGGCATGACACTCATATCCATCGACATTATTCTCTCTTCTTTTCTTAGTTGCCCCATTTGCATCCTCATTTTCTCGTGATCTAGTTGCCTTTTCTCTTGATCTAGTCGTTCTTCCTCTTGAAGATAATATCTTTAAAGCATTTCAATTTTCTTCTCTTTCATTATCTTCTTCTCTTCCTTTGTAGCTTCTAACAGTTTCATGAAATAAAAACTTGTATCATCGCCTCTAGATAATTTACTTTTTGATTTTCTTACTCGCTTTTTTTTCAGCCTTCCTTCCAGATGGCCTCTCTAAGCCCCCATATGAACCATTGTCGTATCTTAAATTTATTGATTCTAGTGTTGAAGGAGTAGAGCTGCGAGGAGTTGTAGTACCTTTTGTTTTTTGCTTCTTTCCTTGAGAATCCTTCATCCATTTTGGTTGATACATTAACTCATTCCAACAATGTTGGCATCACAAATATGTAATTAAAAGTGCACTCAAACCTTGTCTTTCACTATCAAATCGCTTTGATTCAACCTTTTAATCTAGGAAATGCAACCACAATTTGTTAGTGGCTAGCTAAATTGTCAACCAACGAATCATCAAAGAAATAATAGTATGACTACAATTTGCTTGAGCTTTGTAATTGTTGAAATACTCCCAAACCCTTCCTCAAAACATCTTTGATTTTTGCTCATTTCCTTACGTAGTATCCAAACTAATATTAAGCTACACCGAGATTATTATTACATCAACTTCAACTGTAAAGTTGCCACATCGAGTCTTCTTTTTTTTAAACCAGAAAAATTTAAGCCTAAATGACAAGCTCAAACTAATACTAAATAATACTAATGAGGATTAAGGTCATTAATCCATTTAAACCAAAAAAGTTCAACCTATCAACTAGAAAAATTAGATGATGAAATCAGAAAATAAAAAATTTTACGAAGCAGACTGCAACCTTCAAGCATATGACGAATGAGAGGGAGAGGTGGTTGGATCTTTCAGGCTCCATTGCAACCTTCCATGGCATATGATGAAGCAGATTGACGAAGAAGGAGAGATTTGGGGAGATTTTGAAAAATAGGGGTTAAGGATTTGAAAAAATAGCAAAGAAGGTAGTTTCTGTGCATAGAAGAAGGGGGATTTTGTTTTGAAAAATAAAGGGCCGCAAAACTACGCCGTTCCATTAAACCTCATAGCATGTCGTTAGTCTTCAACCGTAATCCGACTTCTCTATCTTTACTAAATATTGAATGCAACAATGATATCATGTCAACATTGATGACATACTATTACCAACCAATAATAAAATTCAAAATAGACAAGGTGAACCTAACTTGAACTTATATGAAAAAAGAGTGAGAGTTATTTGCTTACCTGATAAATTAGTAATTAATTTTTATAGGGTCTATTTACTTATTTATTTTAATATTATTAATAAATGATATCACATTACATTACCAGGTATTACCATTGTAATGAATATGTTCTCCTCTATCTCCCCAATCTCTTTTTTACCACTCTATTCTCTTAGGGGGGGTTGTTTGTTTGGGTGGATAAAGTGGGATAATGGACTTAGATTAGGTTAAAAAAGTCTGAGGCCCTACAAATCTCAGGTTTGGATCCATATTTCTTGATGGGATAATCGTTGGGCTTCATTTACTCGGCTCGTAGGAATTCAGTCATTTATCCTCTCTGACCGAGATCCAGCAATCCCACCTGAACTTTGGGATTGCTAAGCCCATGAATAGGATAATAGGTGTAATTACATAATTGTCCTCCAACAGTAAATTTTGTCTAGGGTTTTTTAACCCCATTTTCTCTCCACTTCAGCCTGGTTCCCTCCCACAGCAAACGACGCTCATTGGTCCCCATTGCCGAAGGTATGCCACTTGAAAATGCCACCTAATTTCCCCTATATTTTCTCTCTCTAGATTTCTCTATCTGAAAAATCCAAGCTCCAGCTTGAAGGTGTCATAGCTAGGGTTTTCTGAATTTCTTAGTTTTCCTTTGAAGCCGAATTTTTCCGAAAAATTCACTTATTTTTCGGGGGAATTCAATTATTTTCCGTTGAAGGTTCAAAATTTTCGACAATGTTGATTTGAAAAAGACAAACTTTGTGGATCTATGTGGACTTTTGAGCTCTGTGAGCCATTTCTAGGGTTTTGTTAAAAGAGAGAGTTTATAAGTGAAAATGTTGGGTCATAAGGCGAAATCAGAGAAGAGCGATGCGGTGAAGCAACAGCGGAGAGACCCCTACGACGTTCTTGGGGTTTCAAGGAACTCTACGGATCATGAAATCAAGAGCGCGTATCGGAAAATGGCTTTGAAGTATGTTAATTTTGATTTTTTTTTCAACTTAATCATTTTTACAGTTTAAATATATCTAAACTGAGCTTTGGTTTTGTGGGCAATTGGAATATTGTATAGGTCGGTGTTGAGATTTGGTATATGGATAATTCTTCAATATGGCTTGGATTTTAAACTTATTTTAATATATTGTCCACATTTTGTTTGGGTGCTGAGAATAGTGAATAAACCGTAATTAATACTAAATCTTCTGTTTGGTATTCTTTTGGTTTTGGCGCCAATGATTTAAAAATCTCACATCATATGAAACATGGTATTAACTAATTTTGTTCTTGATTTCAATTTTAGTGGGACGGCTGGTGGAATTTATGAAAATTCTGCTGGTGGAATTTATGAAAAATTCTGCTGGTGTATATGACTTTTGTTTTAAATTTTTCACAGTCTAGTTGTTGAGCTACTGATTTATTCAATTTCACGAGTAAATGTACAACAAATGAATTATGCTGTCATTCCACTCGGTGACACAGCTGAAAATTGGAATAAAATATAAAACTGGACAACATAAATATAATTGTAAATTCAACATTGACTTTGTATTGGATAGGAACGAAAGGTAAAATTATAATTTAATATAAAATTAAAAAGATTTGACACAAAAAAACAAAAAATTTTCCGTGGGCCCGGTCTGGCGTATTGAGTTTTCGTTGGACTAGTTTGGATTAAAAAATCAAACCAATCCTATCCCAAAAATTTGCCAAACACCCCCTTACTGTCGCTGGCCCCATCTGCCGTTGCTGCCAGTAACCTTCTCCACGACCATGGACGGAGCTACCCAGCGAAGGACGCTCTGCAGAGACCCACCACCGAGGTCCAGCGAGGTATCCCCTTCTCTCCCTTCGTTACCCAAAACAGCCCATCGCCCCATGGCCCACCGTTCGCCTCCAAACCCCCAGCCAACCACTGCGTCCACCCCTTCCTCTCCAACCCCCATTGCCACCGAAACCCACTACATCCTACCGAACACTCCACAAACCCAAAGTCAAACTTTTACCCCCAGCCAACCATGGCTTTCACCCCTTCCTGCTCCTCTCACGCTGCCGCCGAAAACCCACCGAACGCCAAGTGTTTGCATTATTGCTTCAATGAGTTGGATAATCTTCTCCTTTGGTGTTTGCATTATTGCTTCAATGAGTTGGATCATCTTCTCCTTTAATTTTTTTTTTGGTCCAATGGTTTTTTGGTGTAGGTTGCAGTCCTTATTTTAATTGACTTATTTTGATGTAGGTTGATGATGTTTTTGATCTGCAAAGCCACCTTATGCATGGTTTCTTTCACTGCTATTGGTTTTGTCATCTAATTTGCATCGATGGAATTGAGGTGGTTCTGAGTGCGTGCGCGGTACCAAAATCATACCCATTAGCAAGTAGTTCTGAATTCACACATTTATTACTGCATTTACTTTAGTTTTATCTAGAGTATATGCTCTGAATTTCTTGCTTTGTGCATTTATAGGAAACTTTCAGTGGAGATGACAAACTATGGTGATGTCAATATGCTTGGAAACTTAAAAGCTGGTGAGGAATATTGCCCCTGTACTCATCTGAGTTTTACTTCATGTTTTAGCATTTTTGTTTCCAGCTACATCCTGATTGTTAATTTCCCTATTTTATAGGTCAAATGCATTATATGCTCCTTATGATTTTTACTGTTATCATCTATTGATACTCACCTAGCATTATGTATTCCTAAACTAGAAAAGGAATATGATAGTCATCCTGGGTAATTGTGACTCTCTGGTTTTTTTCTTGAGGTTCTTAATGTGGTTTGTTGAATGAATATAATGATAAACTTTATAAATGTTTCTGCAGGTACTGTGGGGCTGTGCTGGATATTGTTATGACATTAGAGTGCGATTTTCCTTGCCCAAGTAACAATGACGTGGGACAAAGGTACTTGGTTCTGTGCATTAGAATCATTTTTTTTGTTATTGTTTTTGTAACTTCGCCTTTTTTTCCTTTTGCATTTGAAAATTAATATTTTATCATTTGAATAACAATGGGTTTGTTAATTTTATATTTTACATAGACCCTTTATGCTTTTAATTTTTGCCTTTGATTATTTTAATTGAATCACATGATTCAAGAAACCATGAAAAACCAAGAATTTGAAGGGCTACATGACTGCTTGGGGTGGATTGGTTTCTAGGAATAGATAAACAGAAGGTGGATTAAAGGAGTCACAACTCTTATTCCTTGCAAGCAATGGGTTCTCCAACCTTGGAGAAAAGCTTGAATTGCTATTTGGTGTGCAAGAGAGATGCTTGAAACAGTGATGATAATAAAGATAAGGCTTGAATGAATGGGAAGTGAGAGTTTTGGGACATGGGTGGTTATAATGATAAGTGGTCGGCGGTACATGTGATAATTATTGGTTTTTTAAACTGATTTTTTTAAAACAGAATGATTTATTTTTCCCATACTTCTGAATAATTCGAGTTTGCGTATGGGTTCCATATGTTTAATACATTTTTCTATAGATAATACTTGCCCTTTATCAAACTTAGGTTCACAGTGTTATGCAAAGTGTTTGGAGAGACTTAGAAGAAACCATTAAGACTGTATATCTGACAGCTATTTACACAGACTGTATTCTAGGATTTTGTCTTGATTTAACTTCAGTTGCAATAGCAAATTCAATTCAAGGGAGTGGATTTTGATATGTTTACTTGGTCATTACTAATTTTTTTCATTTTTTTATGAGAGTTTTGCCTATTTGTTTTATAGGATTTATTAAGAGATATTTTTGTTTTACAATGTGCCTTTAGTCACGGGTCCATCACTAGACTTGAATTCATCCTATTTAGTTAAATGAAGGATTGATTATACAATTGTGTACTCGTCTTCATATTGTCCAGGACTCATGTTTAGAGAAAATTTTGTCGCAATTTCTTAAAAATAATGGGCCCATATTTATCTGCTATTCTTTTCAATATTTCTAATTGGTGATTTTTTTGTGTTTTTTGTGTTTCATGTACGGATAATTGTTGTTGGTTTATTTTAATAAATATTGCTTTCAAACACAGCAATTACTAGTGCATTTATATGAGACATTGGATGATAGGAGCTTTACAGAATACCATCAAGAGCAAGACTTAAGAGTCGAAAGACGTAGAGGCAGATTGTGTGGGACTATTAACATGAATCACAGTGGGAAAGAAGCTTTGGTCAATTTTTACTAGGTCCTTCAAGCACAAAGACTCTTGGATCAATCATGGGAATTCCGTCTTGTAAGCAAAATTGTGATCCATCCCAAGCTCATATAATATAATTTTCAAAATCTAGATGACTATAGTTTTCACTCCTCTTATTATGATACATTTTGGATTGAATTTGTAGAAAAATATGCGACCAAGAAAGCTTCAAGTCATCTTATTTCAAACCCTTGGAGCTGGATGATACTGCGAGTGAAAAGTTGCGGACATGGTCAAGACTAAAGTCCATTCAAATTGGTTTTACAATCCGTCTGCAAGCTGTTAAAGGTCAAGCTTTTGGTGTATTTATGGGTTCAAATTTTGAATTGGACGAAAGCCAAAATTTAAGCGAAGACTCAGATTTCAAAATGAATTCGATGACGAATTCTTGCTAACTTTGGAAAAATTATGCATTACGGATGGTAAGAATTTTTGAATTTTATTTCAATGTGCTCAATGTCGTTTTATAAGGAATTCTAGAAAATTTTATTTTATTTCTTAATGTAATTAGGAAATTATTTAATTTTATTTTTTAGTTCAATTAGGATTTAATTTTATTGGGTGTTCTAATTTAATTAGGATTTTAGTTTCATAGTTGGTTTAAGACTTTATTACTATGTAAACTCTTGTAAGCCTCGGGGCAAAACAGTTTTTGACGAAATAAAATTATAGATGTGTTTTTCTCCCTTTTTATCCAAATTCTTTTGGCATTCTTAAAAATCAATTGAAGTCTTTAGGAATGATAATTTGTTTGAATCAACAGACCTAGAATAGAATTTTAAAGTGGTATTTCTACAAAAATCAACAGTTTGGTTTCGTTCCATTTCTCAACCTTTTTAAATGTTTCCCTACATCACATTAGTTTTCTTTAGAAGTGTAATCCGAATACAATTTCGAACAATAATTTGCTCATGTGCCACGAAAGTCAATAACTAATAAAGTCTTATTCAAGAGAAATTCATTGCACAAAATTTCTATAATTATAGTGCTTGGAGAAAATCAGATTTACATGGTAAGTTTTAAATAGTCTCTCTCTCATAGAATTTGTAGAAGGAGAAACATGGCAGGTTAATACTTGTACTTATATGTTTCACAAAAATAATTATAGTTTTCATATGTTTGCCCCCTTTTTCACTAACCAACGTGATGAATTCAGAAAATGTTAATGATTCTAATGTTTTAGATTAGGTTTGTGTCCAAATAGAAATTTGCACTAAAAAATGGGAAATTCAAATGGATGTCTACAACTTTTGAGTTTTGCTTTGTCCTCTTCTTCTTGCGTGTATAACATCATAGAGGCCAAGTTCAGTAAGCAACAGATAATGGCCTGTGGAAGGCCATAGTGCAGCTTGCAGTTAACATCATGATTGGTAGAGATATGTCCTAGAGGCACTGTGTGAAAAATGATTTGGAAAACATAAAAAAAAATAGGTGCATGAATCTCTTCTGACCATGGCCCTGCAAATATCAGATGATATTTGTTTATGCCGATAGATTGTTTCTTTAACTAAAAATTCGCGACACTGTGGTCGTAATAGAGTTACCATTGCACTAAGTTCTACCCTCAGTCGTGTGCAATTGGTTTAATTAAAGACAAAAACATTATTCTAAGAGTGGTTTTCTGTTTCCTTTTAAGGTCCCATTTTAAAGATTTAAGTGTGTGTGTGAGAGAGAGAGATAGAGAGAGAGAAGGAGAGTATCTAATTCGAGGTTTACTTGTAAGGGTAATATATTGGTGAAAATTAGAGTCAAATAAACTCGTAGGGTTCTTATAAGAGAAATTCTTCTTTTGGTTTTCAAATGCAGGAATGCTTTTGAGTTTTTGGATTAAAATACTGTTAAAAAATTTTGTAAATCAGTTCAATAAAAAAAAAGAGAACACCCAACTCAATTTGGTGTCATACATTCAATCTCTAGCACTATTGTTTACAAAACTGTAGTTCAAATTCTCGAAATCTCTGTCTTGCATGGCCAAAAAATAATATACGTGAACATACGTTGCCAGTAATTGGATAAAAGATCATCCAGAATGATTTTATATAAGTAGTTTCATTGGTTCACAAGTGTATCAGATGAAGCTACATTTTTTTAACTACTTTTCAGCAATTTTACGACTAAGCAGCAAGCATTCAGAGTATCCATGTTATGATGAAGATCAACCCTCAAGTGGCCGTGCCAATGCCATGGTTGCCTGCTGTTGGAGTATAGATAGTCTAGGTTTATTAGGATTTCTAATCTAGGTTTATTAGGATTTCTTTTCCCTTTTTTACCCTTACTATGATTTTTATATTTTGTCTATATATACGGGGTTTTACTCTTAATTTGAGTATCTCCTTTTACTCACAATTATTTCAAGTTGGTATCAGAGCAAGGTTAGGGTTTGGGGTAGGGTTAGTGTATGGCTCTACCAGCCATACCGCCGAAACCACCCTGGCCATCAGCTACCCAGCGAAACCGACCAAACCAGCGACAAAACCAGTCCACCTACTGCCCATACTAGGCCACACCGACAGCCCCAAAATCCATACACCGACGGCCCAGGCAACAAACAGTCTTCCAACCGATTGGCCATATATATCCTGTCCTGCGCCCTTTACCCATTCTCCATATAATAATAATAATAGATCCAACCCAACAAACCCAATAAAACCACTCCTACTGCTAGATCATTGTCCAGCCCACTGCTGGGTCACAACTTTTGTTGTGATTTTGGGAGGGAGCGGATCCTCTTTTCTGTTGATCTGCCCTTGATGCAGTAGATCACTTATTTATATATTTTGGATTTCTGGGCACCGTGACTTGATTATTTGGGAGCTTTTTGGACCTTCCCTATTTGTCGCTACTGTTCGACTGAAGGTATATTGTTCTCCCTTATTTTATTCCTCTATTTATCTTAGAGTTATTTTTCTGTCACGGGTGCCCTAGTATTGTTGTTGATATGGCTACTACTGAGGGACTTGA